CCCCTTATCCTGCACTATCCTGCCCTCTTATCCCTCATTACCCTGCCCCCTTATCCTGCACTATCCTACCCTCTTATCCCTCATTACCCTGCCCCCTTATCCTGCACTATCCTGCCCTCTTATCCCGCATTACCCTGCCCTCTATTCCTGCACTATCCTGCCCCCTTATCCTACACTAACCTGCCCTCTATTTCTGAACTACCCTGACTTCTTATCCTGCATCATCTATTTATTCTATTAAGACCAAACAATTCTATGTTGAGTTTTCTAAACTGTAATTCTGCTAGTACATAGATCTTATTCATATATTTTTCATATTATTATATTTTTCATTTTGTTTCAAATTATTATAAAAAGTTTTTGTCCTTAGTCTGTGTTCTTAATGTCATGATTCTCTTATCATATAATGTATTACAATCAACCTTTGGATTGGTAGTTGCTTATCATTTTCAGTTTATTTTTATTATAAAATATTTTGAAGTCTGACAGATAAAATCAGTTATGTAGAATTTAAATTGCTTAATGTATCCATATAATGTATGACTGTTTATTTTCATGACAATAGTCTTCATTGTGCAAATATTAGTTTCATTGAACATATTGTGAATTTGTGTCACATCCTTTAGTAAAATTGTAGTTGTGCTAGTACCTAACCAATAGATAAATAAATAAAACATTACATTGAACATAATTTTATATAAGTATTCAAAAATGAAATTGGATTCTATTAAAATTTATAATGTTCAGCTTCTTATCCATTATTTCTTAGTCTGCATCTGATGAAAAAAGGCAAGATAAAATATATATTAAGTTATGTTTAAAATAAATATATTATTTAAATTGTATAATCATGTATTACACTTAATACATTTAGGAAGGAAACTTTCTCACAAATTCATATTATAAATGATAAGCATGCGTCATCTTAACAAGGGTACTTTTAGTGTTTTCTTTCACCCAGAGCAGAACAGAAATACCTCCAAGCTTTGTTCAATTTCTTTAACCTGAGCTTAGAATGAACAATACCATTGTGTGGCCAAACAATTCTAACTCTAAGATCAGAGAAAGTGGTACTCCTGTCTATGCAGTTCTTGCAATGCCACTGAGCTAACAGTCAAAACATTGACCTTGTATATAATGTTAATAAAAATATAAGGGAGGGGGATTTTTGCACAAAAATTCCTCGTAACATCAAATAGATGTCCCATGCATTATGACTGGAGGTGTTTATTTCAAACAAGGGGGGTAAAATAAATACCTGTGAGTGTGGCTTTTTTGTGTTAACTGTGAAAACCATAGGATCAATAGTTTCTTTTCTTACTTAAAGCGTCAATATGATTACGTCAAACAACACAAACTGAGTGTTCTAATTGACCTAATGGTTGCCATAGTCAGGTAACATCAAGTAATAAACAGAAGAAACATATTTTTTCCTACCTACGAGCAGTTCTGAAAGGGAAAGGAAGAAAAAAAGACGTATTTTGGTGGAAATTCTTATGAGGCATTAAGTTACTTATTTGAGAAGTCTTTGTGGTACTGTGTACTTTGTGAACTAAAGCTGCATCACTGAGAAGTAGAGATAAAAGTTAGGAAACCTTAAAACTTTTTGACTGAGAAATTTGACATCAAAAGGAACATACAACCAGGTTTCTATTCATCAACACCTAGTACACTTACACAGAGACTGACAGATATGGCAGAAGCATCTACAGCAGATTCCCCGAATGAACTCTTGCAATGCAATATTTGTTTAGAAGAGTATAAGGACCCCCGTGTGCTGTCTTGCCACCATACATTTTGTTACAACTGTATATCTGACCACGCAAATAGCACCGCTTCTGAGAATGGGACATTTAAGTGCCCGATTTGTAGGAAAGAGATACAAATTCCAACAGGTGGGCTTGCAGAATTGACAAAAGATTTCCGTATTCCAAAAATCAAAGACCATCTGTGTCTAAAAAAGCAGCAAAAAGTCTCAGTTCAAACTGAAGAAACTGATGCCACGTCAGGACATGTGTCAGCACAGTCACAACCTCCATTGGCTGGACAAGAAGCAAATCCAACACCAGCACCATATGCTCCCCTTTTCATACAGGAGGTAGAATTTGTGTGTTCATTCAGTGCTATATTGGAAGATGATCACAGAAATGTGAACATAACTGGGTTAGCCACAGATAAGCAATATGTCTATATTGTGGATATTGGAAACAACAGAACTAAGGTATTCAAACACACAGGACATTTCAAGTTTGACATTAAACTGACAAAACCATTTGATGTGGCTGTGTCACAGTCTGGCACTAGTAGCCTGTATATAACATCACATGGTGACAAATGTGTCAAAGTATATTCCACCAGTGGTCATTATGAAACAGATATGGGTCATTTTGAGGGGCCATGTGGCATTACATTGAACAAACAAGGTCATGTGATGGTTTGTGACTGCAAAAAGAATTCTATCTGCACATTCTTTGCAGTTGGTGGGAATCTCAGAGACACTATTCCTGCCAGAGGGTCAGAACTTCGCTATATCTCAGTGAACAGGGTGGAGGATAACATTGTGATATCAGACAGGGAAGAACACTGTGTACATGTGCTGTCACCTGGTGGTCAGTTGTACCAGTATGGAACATATGGCAGTGGTGATGGTCAGCTGTGTGAACCACGTGGAGTGTGCACAGATAGCTATGGTCACATCTTCATTGCTGACAGGAATAACAACAGAATAGTGGCATTGAGTCCACAAGGACAGTTTATTAGAAATATTGTCACTGAGGAGGATGGGTTGGAGCAGCCCACAGCATTAGACATCAACCCTGCTGGCCAGTTGGTGGTGGCAGAGAAACAGGGCAACGTTAAGACCTTTCAGTACTTACAATAAAGACTGCTCACAATTTTCATATTGCAATAGGGATCTTGCAAGTGCAGATCTAAACTGTTGGGCATGAAATTGTAGAAAAACCGAAGCAGTAGCCAGAGTAGCTACCAAGCCTGCTAAGAAACTAGACTAAAGAAAACACCGCATAATGTCAAAGTGCTCATTTTATGATTACAGCATGTTTTAATACTGATCTCATGTAAAGTGAATGTAAAGTGTATTGGCACATATTTGAAATGACTTTGAAACAAATAGTGAAATGTACATATTTCAGTTTCGAAGAAAAAAAAGGAAAAAAATTGAATGATTGGTGTAATTATCTTGCAACTAGTGCAACTACCAGCATAATCATGTAATGTGTGTGTTTATTTTGAACATTAAATCAAATAATATACACTTTTGACTTGTTTTCTATTTTATAGACAGACACTTTGTGTGTGGAGATTTACCCACTATGATGATCTTTTTCTGTCATTGCCATTGCTGTATGCATTGCTGTTCCAAGTAGTCTCAGGCCTGCAGTCTTGTGCTAATTACATTTTCTCAATTACCAGTAACATTCATATATGTATATTAAAAATTGGAGCAGTATTTTAGTTGATAATATATCAATCCTGTAAGTTTTGGAATAATCAGTATTAAGCTATACCTAATTAACATGATGTGCCTCTTTCTTATATTCCTGTTATTCTTCTATTTTTCTTCCTTGCCCCTTTCTTCCTTCTCTACTCCTTCATACTTATTATTTTATGAGACCACCTCCTCCTCCTCTTCCCCTTTCATATCTTTCTCCTCCTGATCCTCCTCCTTCTTACCCTCCTCCTGCTCTTCTTGGACCTTCCTTTCATATGAAAACCTCTCCTGAGGAGACAGCTTAGTTTTAATTAAACATGTTTTAGTTAAAAGCCCAGTAATCCTGCTTGTTAGTCATTGACTTTACTCATTATTAAACTCTGGCATACAAAGGATGTGCAAAGCAGGAGAAGCAATATTGAAGTACATTAAAGTTGTCTTTTCTTTGCTTTCAGAGGTTAGACATATTGGTAACACTAGTCTCAGGATTGGACTTCATCACATTTGACCTGACCTATGTAAGTTGACCCATTAATTTTCAAGCTTTTTAAAGAAGATTAGAAAAGCTTGTTAACTGTGATTAAAAACATGCTAGTAATAACTTGTTTGGAATTTATGAAATTAATCATTAAAAATTCATCCATCTTGACTCCAGGATATGACGTATCTGGACTTCAGCTGTCACTGCCCTGGGGTGGACAGTCCAGACGAGGACAAAGAGGACCGAATTTCCATCTGCAGTATGGAGAGTAATGTGTCACAGGTACTTATAATTGATAAGAATTGAACTGGTTGAAAACCATGAGAATTCCACCCACATATAATGCTTATTAATAAAATAAATAATATTTTGACAAGTTTATACATTTTTGCACTCTTTGATTCATGTGTCATGGGCAAAGAACAAATAAAAAGTTGTTTTTTTTAGATAAGAATTTCAAAATTTTTAGAATGTTTATTATTTTAAAATGTTTTAGAAAACTGGGGCAGAAATGCAGAGGGTGAGAAGTGGTGTTTTCGATGAAAATGAAAATGTTTTCAAATTTTTCCAAATTATATTCGTCCTCATTTGTTTAAGATGTTCGACCATAACAATGACATGGCAGGACGTGCCAGGACGGAATCCATGCTGCCTTTTCCACGGTCACCAGGTCATGATGACCTCTTGCCAGTCAGACCACGGTCCATCAGCTCACTGTCCTCACAAATGTCCATGCCTCAGTCCTCAACCGGGGACTTTTCTCGAGGATCTTACATTGAGGATGAGGATTTCGGAGCAGAAGAGGAGGAGGGCAATATAGAAGTCATCCATGTGAAGAGCAAGAAAAAGAAAAAGAAGAAAAAAGGCAGCAGTCATGGTAGTAGTTCAAGTACACCTGCCACACCTGTGACACCTGTCACACCTGTTGATGCACCTGTGTTTTGTCCCATATCACATTCCAATGACAAGATTCCCAAGCCCTCTCTCCAGGAGGACTCTCCATCCCACCCAACACAATCGGGCCCTAAACAGGTGTCTCCTCTAACACAATTAACAGCTGTCACTTCACCAGATGATGATACCAAAGGGGACAATTCTGTGCCACAGAAATCCCGCAAAGAAACCACTTCTATAGTCAGAGATTCTTTTATCAACAGTGATGAACCTCCTGATTTAGACCTTATTGAGAGAGCCATTTTAAACGGGCCTGCTATTCGCACACAGCCCTCAGACACGAGCTTACATGTCTCTGACAATCTTCAGCAATCTACATCGTCAACAAGCTTTAATATTTATGATTTCAAAAATCGTACAAGCATATCCAGTCAGGGTAGTAGCGGAGGCAGCAGTGCCTCTGTGTCTGGGTTGTTGGTAGGCGGAAAAGATGAGCACGCTTTATTTCCACGGAGACCATCAGATTATAATAAGTCAGACTTTGAAGTCATCACAGAAGAACAAGACCCAGGAGCTGCTGCCGGGGCTGCAGTGGAGCCACCGTCGGAGAAACATACAGAGGATGAGCCCAAAAGTGGGAAAAAACATGAAGCAAGTGATTTAGAAAAGGCTGATGATTCCAATCTGTTGTCACCTACAGACATTTTAGATGGTGCTTTACAGACAGGAGAGAAAGCAAAGACTCGAAGGGAAAACTGGGGAAGGGCAAAAACGCAGAGGGCAAGAAGTGGTGCTTTTAATGAAAATGAAAATTTTGATTTTAAAGTCAACGAGAAAGGTGCTGATGTAACTATATCTCTTACAAACACAGTTGGGCAAAATGTGCAATTAGTGGGTAAAGATTATGAAAATTCCAAAATTCCAAGTTCACAGCTTGTCAAGGAGCGCAGAACTAGTGAAAGCATATACAGTGACAAAGACAAACTGTCTGATAGTGAGGACAAAACGGAAAGCATGATTGGTCATTCTGATGGTGACCTTGACCTTGGCCTTGACCTTTCAAGGACAGAGGATCAGCACCAGCAGGAGACTGAAGACACAGAATCAGCAGAAGAATATATTGATGAAGAAGAGGAAAGGGTTATTATGAGAAATTCAGAAGGGAAATCAAGGCAGTTGGATATTAGGTAAGTTTTTCGTCCTTTTGAGAGTACAACCCTTGAGCTTTATTATTCCTGCATGCTTTGAGATCAGCATATTGATTGTGAACTAGGTATGGAAACTGAAATTTCTATATGCTATGTGATATAAGTGCTATGTTTTAAAAGTGGTAAGTGTAGATGCCTTGTTCTTCTGATTAACTGTATTTATGATACTTTGTTTTAGACTGGACAACAACAGCAAACTGTTTCTGATGTTGGAAGTTTTCCAGACAGAGGATGAACAATTTTTAGCGGTTAGTATAAAACAAAATGCCTTGTGGTCATCCACAGTCTTCCTTGTCAGGGTCACAGTTCAGTTTGTTTTTGACAATAAAAAAGGACCTAGATGAGATTTCCCTAATAAGAAAGCAGTTGACCCTGGCTTGTAGAGTCATACTTAATTGCTGTGTTATATATTATAACAGATGAATTACTTTACAAACCACTTTAACACATTTTTTTTTTCACAAAGGGATATGATTTTTAAAAACTTTTTTATGCCCACTGACAGATTTGAAACAGCTCAAGTTCTCCTGATTAACAGATGAATTACTTTGTAAAACAAATAAAGGTTTTTGTTATGGCAGGAGATTTTGATCAAAAACTTTGTATTCCTGTCTTTATTTTAGATGTACCCCACCACTGTTGGCCATACAGAAGGGAATACGCAGAAGGTATTTGTGATGTTGACATCCAACGCCCTCTATATTCTAACACCAGGGCCTGGCCGAGGCAAATACAACAAGGAGACGGTGGTACGATACCAGGAGATCGACTATGTTGATGTAAGTGACCTCTTTTGGTGGAAGTTGGAATATTTGTTGCCAGTTAAAAAAGGGTTGTCACACTACAGTCCCATCTAGATCCCAAGACTGCTGGGATTCTTTTACTTAGAAGTTTTTATGCCTCACTGACTATTTTTACCTGCAATTTTTAAACTTAGTTGTGAATTTATATTTAGTTTTAAAGAGGGCAAATTGTTCTTGAAGAACCTTAACATTTTTTCATGGTGCATGCATCCAGCTTAATGGAACCTTGTCAGTAATAAATATTATTTGTTGGAATGGATGCATGTAAACATGGAAGGAGGGACCCCATTAATCTACTAAAAGCATAGATCATAGCTATTCTGTGCAACTTTTATCAGCTTATGTCAGATGCTGTGTTGTTTGACTATGTTGGCACACATATTTGCATTCTTATGTTTGTTTTTTCTCTTCCAGTTGTCAGTAAACTTCCAAACAGTTCACATAGTTTGCACAAACAGAAGAAAACAGCACTGGATCACAACTGGAGATGAGGAACTGACCAAGTAATTGTCCCTTTCCACACTATTTTATAGTCAGAACATTTGTAGCATTTTGTGTCAGATTTTAAAGTATCAATCCATTAAAGCTGAGCTTTCTTTCTGGCAAGCTTTTGGATTGTCCATTCATTTAACTCTAAAATGTGACTCTTTCTTCTCCTGTAAAAGCACTTTACATATCAACTGTAGATTTATTTTTTAAAGTAATGTGATGAATGTATTTCATAACTGATTATATTTTGATGTGTTGTCCTTTATGGATACCATTTTTGTAAGTCATCTTTTCAAAGTGTAACGTCCAAGTTTCCATTAAATGTGACTCATTGATATTGATATTTACCACCAGGGCTATGGTGAAATCACTGGAAGAGGCAGTGCGTAACTGTGAAGTGGATCTCCTGCGACTCAGCGTTCTCACTGATGCCACCACACAGAAGATAGCAATGAAGAAATGGTTAGCACAAGAATGCGGAGTAGCTGTGAGTTCTACTTTGTTGTCTGTATTTTGGCATCTAGTATTCTGTATGGAATAAATGGCTAAGTAGAATTGATTGAAAATAGACAAATATTGAAAACCTATAGAATTACAAGATTGGTACTTATTCATTGGTATTAGATTGGTAACTTTTCATCAGTATGAGATTGGTAACTTTTTATTTAATTTTTCAAGAGGTGGTATTTTGCCATTGCAAAAATCTCCCTTTAAAATTCAAACTATTACTAGCCAATGTTTTACTTGAACTTCTCTATTCTCAGTCCAGTGAGGTGGAACTCCTGTGTTACAGTCTGGTCAGTTGGGAGGACACACAGTCCAAATCTCGGAGTGGACTGGCCAAAGAGGGGACGCTACTGGTCAAGACTCCCAACAATCTGTACGGTCACACGTGGAAGGCTGCCTTTTTTGTACTTAAGTATGGGCTTTTCTCATTTAAGCATTTGTCATTCTTTAAGTAATTTTGGAAGTTTTTTTTTCCATTATTGTTATAATTGTAATTAATAAACTTTGGAAAGAAAACAAAGGTGGATGAAACCAGAACAAAATGTTGAAAAATAATAAGGCTTGATATATAAGGAATGGACCCTGATAGAATTTTCCATGTTATTTAGATGAAAAAGTACTTGCCAAATTAAGCCAAAAGGTTTAAAAGTGAAGTCAGCAGAATTTTAATAAGAAGATATTTAACTTTTCTCTTGTTTTATTCCTAGAGATGGTATATTGCTCCAGTTTCCAAATAAAAATAACACAAAAGAGCCAGAGAGAACAATCCAATTAGGGTATGTTAAAAGATAAACATGTTTGTACTCTGACACAACCACGCATGCACTTTTTAAAATGAAGATAAAGCATAACGTCGTAAATTTTCTTTTTGGTAAAGTTTAAACACTTCATGCACACTAACTGTTTCCCTGAAGTACATTTTATTATTTTTAAATTGTGATGTTATCTTACAAGCATATTTGTTTAACATCACAGGTTGAAGTTTTATATTTACAGTGTAGATATAATAGAATACTGTAAGAGATACCATAATCAGTTAAATAAATCATATATAATAAAAGTAAACACATAATTAAAATACGTTCATTGTAAAGTATAATTTTCACCCAGTTTGTGTTTATAAGTATGAAAGATAGTAAGCAGTATTTGTGACTGGATCTTTTTGATCGTTTCATAGTGGTGAAGATTGCTGTGGCTGCAGACGAGCTCACGTCTCGGACAGGGAGAACTGCTTTGAGATTATCCTCTCAGACAACAGCACAATTCAGATGTCCGCATCAAATGAATCAGAGACGTTTGATTGGCTTCAGACTCTGTGTAAGGCTGTTTCAGAAGGAATGGGGGTAGGTTTTCTTAAATGCTTATGTTGTTACTTTCATTTATTTAGTTACTTAAAATTTATAGAATGGACAAAAAATTAAATTAATGCTTATTTTTTATTGGCATATGTAGTCAAGCTATTTTATTGTCACATTTTTGTAAGGAATATTTATTTTACATCATGAATTTTATCTTCAGAAGACGATGTTGCTAGAAGGGGTAGGTCAATAAAATTGAGTAGTCTTTCCTTTCCTCAGTATGTGTTCCAATTCCAAAAGATATATTGTCAGTACAATAACATCCTACTATTTGTTAGCACTTATGAAGGTATAGCATTTTATGTTCCTATCCTGCTAAGATTTAAGAGGAATTCTCCAGCATTCATGATAGGTAAATTATAAAATAACCATGACCTTCCTTCATCCTTCACAGTTTCAAATGCTGAAGAGCTATATTTTGTTGAAATATAATAGATTGAAACAACTGCCAAGTCCTTCCCAATGATTATTATAAATTTTTATTTTGAACAATTTCTGAGAATACCCTGATTTCAATATAGCCTTTGGTTTTTTTTTTTTTTATTTTTTTTTTTTTTTTTTTTTGTTATCCCTCTAGTAAATTAATCCCTTACTCCCATGGTGATCATATACACATTATGGACAACAACTAATAATTAGTCTGAGGCAAATAGTAATAAAACTGCAGTTATTATTTCATCCTTTTGTAGTTCATTCCTAATTCGGTTAATTTTCTAATTACCTGATTGGTGTATTTATAACCAATCATCTTTAAAATTACATTTACCTCCTAGGCTCCTGGTGGAGTGGGTGTTCTGCCCTGCTGTGCTGTGCTGACTCCTAACAAGTTATTCATGTGCCATGAGGACCTGCAGACATATTTCTTTAGAACCATAGGCTCTGCAAATGTGTTAGATGTGACAGGCATCACAATTGACCCCACAGACGAAAGATATTGTATTGTGGTAAGTATGCATTGAAGGGGCTGCTTTTATTCAGAAAATGGGAGAGGTGTTGGGTATAAAGTTAGAAAAATAGAGAGAGAGAGAGGGGGAAGGAGATGGAAAGAGAAAAGGGGGAGAGAGGACAGAGTTTGTGCATTTATACAAGAGAGACAGTTACGAGTGTTTGTGTGTGTGAATGGGTATTTGCTATTGTGGCATGCATCACAGTCACAATTTAAATACAACATCAAGGAATATACATGTATTTAACTGGAACATTTAAAAAGTTTTATTTTTATGTTTTCAGGAGTTTGAGTCGCAGGACAGGAAAGTCAGCAGTGAACAGTGGATCCTATATTTTGCATCGACAAAAGAACAACGAAAGTTCACCGAAGCCCTGTCTGATGCATGGAAGAGGCATTTTCAGGTAATCAGTGATGACAGATAACAAGTCTTGGTGCTGGGTAGTTTTCTTTTGTTTTAGTGTATTTTACTTCTGAATCAGTTATATTAAATATTGAAGTGTATTTGTTTATACTCATACTTGAAATAATATTTTTATTTCTTATTCATGGTTTTTGTAACTAACAATGACCATGTATAAAATACTGGGAATAAAGAAATAGAAAGACACTTTTCTGTATAGATGTATTCATCACTGTCCCTGTCTATAGAAACTTAAGATGAACAAAGCATTTTTCTCTTTTTTTCCAGGTCTCAATACCAGTAAACATATTTGAGGACATGACCTTACAGTGGAAATGCAAGGATACCTTAGCTAATGCTTTGGCTCCACTATCAATCAGTTGAGACCTTTTTTGGCTCTCACTCATACCAAATATGTGAAAACTATGTTTACCATAGTTGCCGAAGACCTGATCTCTTTCCTTTAGCAGTCAGCGAAACCTGTTAAATATCAATTAAATGTTACATCTAAATGTCCAGTACAGTGGTCAGGCCTGTTATCAGTCAGGCGGGGTCAGTTACAGAGTGGACATCAATTACATGTTAATTGTAAGTCAATTGGTCATTTGCTGACATCTTTTATCTTCAGAGACCATTTGCCTGCCCTCTGTGTGTATCGATTATCCAAGACCTTTTATAGATTAACAGTTCCCTTCTTCACAAAATGCTCAATAAACTTACTTGCTCTGTGTTATATGCAAGAAATACATTTTTTCTCTTTCCATTGTCTTCTTCTAAATGCTAAAAGTGGCTATTTTCTGAAAGAATTTCATGCTACAATTTTCAGCATTTATTTTTTTGTATTGCCAAGTTCCATGCAGTCGTTCATAAAAAGAAAAACCTTTAATCTCCAAGACTGGAACCGCCATGTATCAAATATAGATCAACTAAATGGTATCCAGCAAATGATCCCAGCCGTGCCAACTGCTGTTACCGTGACCAGAAATGTAAAATTAAATGACGAAAAAAAAAGATCACATGTGGTTCAAGTGTATACTATTTATTTTTACCATCTTATTGAAAATGTAATATGTACAGTAAATGACTAAATATATATTAGGTTAGTAGTATGCACTGGACTTCTGCATATTGAATGCAGGTTTACTTGTATCATAAAATTGACTTCCCTTTTTATTTATTTTCAATTTTTTACCAAAAAAAAAAAAAAAAGATAAATAAAGCTACAACTAATGCTATGATTATATATGATTTTGAAGAAATAATGGTAATAATTTAAAATAATTACACAAGTCTGTGAAAGGTTTCCCTATATTTATATGGACACTTGCACTTACAAACAATTGGGTTTGTGCTGAAAACTTGATTATGTATTTCAACTACTTTAAACATTCAGCGATGTAAAAGGGTTCTTAAATAAACCGTGGTCTTGTTTCTTTCATTATTAAGTACACAGATAAACCTCTGATACCACTGAAAACTTGTAGCATCATATTTTATGGTGTTGAAAGACTAGCACAAAGGTCTGCTTTAAAATTGTTCAGGGCAAAAAAGCCACTCCAATCCTTGAGATGAATAATCCCTGTCCTGAAGACAACACGAAGTACCCATTCTCCAAGAAACTTGGTCAACAAAAGCCAGCATGGAAAACCCCATTCCATCTTCAAACAAACAAGGACTTCTCTCAATTTTCAATTCCGAGCCCCAACTTGAGTGCACTGGGCACACTTATAAACTTTTTTTTCTGTGCACATTTTTAAGCTATGAGAAATGAGAAAAATTTGGGGAAAAGGTCTGGAATAATAATACGTGTCACTTTACTTGATCAAAAGCTTGGCATTAAATAAAACGTGCACGCACAGATAACCTTTAACATTACAAGACCCATAAAAATCTATAATTAAAGAGATCGGTCAACTAAATTCTACAATATGGGCGTTTCCGTGTTGCCAATTTATAACCGCATTAGGCTTGAGAAGTACTACACAGTAGAAGCTACATCCAAATACAATACTCAAGTGCCATTTACACATAATCAGCTAAAATGGAACAGTGGATTTTTTTTTTTAATCAACTTAGTTACCAGTGTCCTAAGTGAACGAAATTGATCTTATTCTACCCGTGTTCCTCAAAAGGTTTTACCTACAACATATGAGTATCCTGTGTAAAACTGGACTGCGATGCCAAGTTCTCTATTTTAGCTTAGTCAAAATGAAAGACTAGTTATAACCATAAAAGCAAGCTTGTTTTGGAGTATGAATTTCAAAAACAGCTGGACCCAACTTTCACAACTTTCTTCTTCTTGTTCTTTTTTTTTTTTTTTTTTTTTTTT